CACACACACACACGCACACACAGTCCCAAAGTAGCTGCCTGAACAAGCCAGTAAAGTGCTCTCTAATGAGTCCTATAGAAGTGCTAAACAGAAAATCTCTGGCAACAAATACAGCTTCTTGTCTCACCACCAACAGCCCAGACTCCCCCACAGGCCTCGAGCCTCACAGAAGCTGAAAGCCATCGGAGGCCACAGAAACACCTGTACGCAGAGCTCCGCCAACAATAGAAGCCATTCCTTTTTTCAAGCGGTGCAAATGAGGTACTTTACCATTGTGGAGAAAAGATACAGGGGAAAAGCTTTAGCCTATCGATGTTTGCGACTCAACAAGTGAAGCCAAACAGCAGGCAGCACGGGCAAAAAAAAAAGGTTTGGTTCAGGTTTGTAAGCAAATGGACTCGTGCTCCAGAGAGACTTTATTAGCGAAAACATAGTAAAGGAAAACAGTTGGTAAGAGGACAGCGAACAAGACAATGGAGTAGAGTTATTTTTTTGGCAACACAAGTATAGTGGTGAATTAATTAAGCTGGGTATGCATTTTCACAGACCTACACCCAGGTGAAGAGGGAGAGGGAGCGAGAGAGAGAGAGTTACCTCTGCACTTTACTTGTATTGTTTGTGGATTGTGTTCCGGCTGCTGGGCTCCTACTGACCACAGTCATTAGCTTGTCACTTACAATCTGTCTCAAATGCCCTGAGACTCTCCCTCTCTCTCCCTCTCTCTCTCTCCCTCAGTGACCCCCACAACAGTTTCAGTTCAGCTGAAATAAGCTCTATTAAATTTACTGGATTAGATTTGATGCCATTCCATCTCATTTCATTAGATCTTAGTTTAGTTCAATTCAGTTCAATCTATTTCAGTTCAGTCCAGTTCATTTACACATCCTCTATCTCAGTAAATGTAGTTACTCCCGCCAAGAACGGTATGTTTCATCAACGTTTGTTTGTCTGTTTTTTGTTTGTTCTGGATCCCAATTTTTTTTTCACTTTCTATAAAATTGTGATATAGGACGTTTTTCAATATTTAAATGAGACTGAAATTTAAGAGTTTGGCAAGTTGGTGCAGATCCATATTAAAATCTGGATCTAGTAGATTTAAATGTGGTTTTATAAGGAGGGAAGAATCCTTAAGGTTTTATGGCCGATCCAGATCATGGGGCATTTTCACTTTCTTAAACATTGCGAGATCAATCATTTTTTTGATAGTTATTCTCAGAAAAAAATGATGTGCAAATCTTGATAAAAACATTCAGATATATTTAGGTGGTTGGTACTGATGAGTACATTTTGGTGAAAATCCAAATGAAAATCCAGATCTAGTGGATTTTAAATATTTTCATAAGGGGGTTAGTCTTTCTCCAGCTGTTATATGGTAACAAATAGAACAAGAAAACTGCAACTACCGCCAATAACAAACTGAGATAATGTCATTGATTTATTTGTTAAAAGGATTATGCAATATTTACTGAACAGATTTCCACAAAACTTGGTGCTGGAATGGGGCCTGCAGAAAACATTCAATTTTAGTGCAGATGTGGGTTAAGGAGCAGATGCAGGAATGTTTTCATAAGTTTCCTTTCTTATTTTTATGACAAATAAATCATTGTGGTTATCAGACCACATCCTTTTATATGTTTCTATCATAGGAACTAGAGAACCATGGGGATTGGCCTTGTGCGCTCGACTGAGTGCCTGTCTACTTTCAAGTAAAGCACTGGCCACTGTGGGACCTCTGTCATACAGAACATCTTTTACTAACTAGTTCCAAAATATTGCAGAGAAGCTTGTTTTATTTTTTACTTCATCACCCATCCCTCTCTTCATCCTTCGTGCTGATGTCTCTCATGTTGGGTTGAGGACACAAGCAGCTCCAGACTGGTTTGAAGACAGCACAAGCCCACAGAAACTTAATGCAAGCAGCATGCAGATCTCTGAAAACTCTTGTCTGAATCCAATTGTAGAAATATTCACAACGTAGGTAAATCTGAGATATAAACTCTGAATCCTCTTGGTTATACACGCCTCCACGTTTACAGCTCAGAGTCATATACTGGATAAATAAAGGCTGTGAGTCACATAAGAATAAAGCTGCTAGAATAAAACACACAGACTGGGTGAGGCATTTAATTAATTGTCCAACTGAGCATTACAATACTGAGTAGTGGACAGACTTATTGGCTCCAGAATGTCACAAACAGACAAAAGAATATGAAGCAAAAGGTGATTTTTTTAGCAGGAGATCATGTCAGGTGTGACCTCTCTCTTCAAAGAGCTAAAAGAAGAGAAAGGTCTCTAGGACTTTAACAGAATAACAATTCAAATGACATTATACAAAAATGTCAGCCAACAGCACACTGTGCAAACAATATTGTACAGTTGCTCAGATCACATTCTAAACAGAGGAACAAAGGAGCAGCCGTGAGTCTAACTCCTCCAATCTAAGGAAGCAAAAGGAGAATGAGATGGGCGGAATTTGGACTGAATTAATCAATAGTAGTCATAGTGCTATCAAGCTGTCAGAAGCTTAACTGTAGAAACAGAAAGAGAGGGATTAGGAGAGATCCTGAATAAAATAAAGCTGCCAATGGGTTTGAAGCAGCCACCTCACCAGTCATATCTGATACAACGTTAAGATCTCTGTGCAGTGGTTATTTGAGGACACGCCAATGTGGTTTAAAGAGGAATGTTCACATCAAATCAAAAGAGGGGGAAAGTTTGTTCTAGATTTTAGATGAACTGACACTGACATGACAGACACCAAACATGATTTAGCATTCAATAGGGCCTTACCCTGAGAGGGGAGTTGGCCACATGATGTAAAAATATTGCACCAAAGGTAATCGGGTCTGCACACAAAATTTGGAAATTATATTTGGGCTCAGTCACATTGGCTGGGCTCTCTACCTTCTTTTTATACTGCACGTGCCTGTAATAGGGGAAAACATCGGGCCTGGGTTGGGTTTGGACACAAAAAACAGAACGCCTCTCAAGTTCAGGTCATTTTCTTTCTCATGGGGCTCAGTCGGCTTACTGCCTAAGCCACTCTGCTGTCTACGGAGTCTAACACCTGACAATGTATTTGGCAAAATATTAATAAAATACACTTTCATCATATCAGATCTAACTTTTGATTATTTTTATTGTCCTATACTCTATCAACACTGATGTGTCTCTAAATTGTAGTTATAATTGGCGTTAGCAGAGTCTGTCATTATTAAATCAAATAGAAAAAATGTGCACATGCACGAGGGACTCATAGGAAATGAGATTACGGAATTCTGTAGACAAGATATTGTGAGTTAATTATTTTTTCAACTCATCGACTGATCAGAGAAAATAACTATAAATAATATTGTGAATATTTATCTAATAGCTGCGGAAAAGAGGAAAATATTTGACCTAAGTCCAAGATAGAAAATTATCATCTGCAAGTGGAAAGTGGCAAAAACTCAAGTGGTATAAGTGAAATTATTCACTCTTTTCTGAAGATAAAAAGGTCAAATTCAATACTCGCTGTGTGAGTAGATCTTTTCTCGACTGAATGTTGGCTACAAGCAGTCAACATCCACCTACATGCATCCAGACTCTTCATTCAGCAACACGCTCACAATCCTCTGAAGGATGTGTTTTCTTGCTCCTGGAGATTGACTGTAAGGCGGCAAGTTAACATCACTCAGTGCCTCAGAGACAATAAAGCCCCAGGCCCATTTCAGATGCCTGCTCTCAGCCTCTATCCTCAGTCAGGCTCTGGAGAACTTAATAGAGCCAGGCTGTGGGCTTTCATGTCCTTCAGGCAGTCCAGGCGATGTCCTAATCGAGGGTGAGACAGTCCAACGTGAAGCTGGCATCAGACCGACGGACAGCCTGGCGCCAGCCCACACCGCACCATGCCACACCAGAGCGTTCCAACCCAGGGCTCATGGGAGAATTGAGACAGCCTGGGGTAATGAAAGACAACAGCTCTGCCTGCCAGTGGAGCTGGTGCCATGGAGGGAGGGCACCAGGGGGAACATCCACGCCAGCTGTGGCACCCTGACATCTCCCTCTATGCTACCTGCTGCATCAGAGTCATACTTCATTACATATGTAGTTTTCTAGTGGATCCTGGTGGATTCATCTATTTCTACTAAAACATACAACATATTTCTCTTTGTTCATTTCTGGGGAGCAGCTCAATTTGACATGAATATATGCAGGCATATATGAACATCTTTGCTTTTGCCTGAGCCTGTTCAGTCGCCAACACAAAGATTTCTCACACCGTCCATATTGTTTATACTTATCGTACAATGCGTTATGATGACTGAATAAAACTCAATCAATCAAGAAGATACTTCAATCAGGCACAACATTAAAACAAGTAACTGGTTTAGTTTATATATCAACACCAAAAATATAAACATTCACCTTCACCTCCTGCAATCGTAATTTGAATCTTAACTTTGGCTCAAGAGGTAAAGTGGGTCGTCTTCTAACCAGAAGATCAACGGGTTGATCCCCGTCTCCCCATTCTGTAAGTGTGGCAACATACTGAACTTCAAATTTCCCCTGACGGCAGTAATGGCAGTGTATGAATGATGTGTCATAAAGAAAGTGCTGCACATGCACAGAAGCATGGATGAAGTAACTGTGCTGGAAATTGCTTTGAGTGGTCCTCTAGACAAAAGTGGTATATAAATATGGACCAGTTACAATAACCACAGTATATCTCTATATCTCTCAAAAGATAAACACCAGAAATTCAAAAGATAACCACACACAAGTAGCCATGCTATACTTAATACATATATCAGCCTATTAGCCCGTGAGATGACATGAGATAATGATGCATTATTGTGTGATCATGTCACATCTTCCTCTGTATGAAAGGTGCTATACAAATCAAAATGAATTGATGTGGTGTCATAATTAAGGAATTAATTAATAATAATTCCTTGCCAGGAAAATTCACATGAATGCCATCTCTAGTCAGAAAAAGTCACAGAGCCTGCAACAATAGAAAGAGGAGTCAAGATGTTGTTTAAACACATGAATACAAGACATTTTATTTACAGCGTCCATGTGTCTCCATATTCTGACTTCCGAGCACAAGAACACACCCAGAGTCAGAGTGAGCTGCTTCTCCTCAACACCAGGGAACCTGTTTCACCCCTTAATTAGCACATGAATATTGCAGTTACACAGCAACATGTTGCATGTGGATTTGAGGTGTGAGAGAGAGAGAGATGGGACAGGAAACAGAGAATATAAAGTGTGTGAAGCAAAGGTGTTTATTGGGCATTGTCTCTAGAGTGAGAATGCATATTCACATTTTTGTGCAGATGCAAGTCTTGAACCCTTGTGACTCCTGGGATCAGGTTTATCATACTTCTTCCCGCCATGTGTGAGCTTTACTGCTTCTACCACTATAACCATAGCTGCACGGGAGTGTGTATGCATGAGTCTGAGCATGTTTCTATGTTTATGCTGACGACCTTGACAGCAGGTGGGTGAACTCCCAGGTGTGTCCCAGTTTTAGTGGGAGGATCAGAGGCAGGTGGGACTGAGCCTGGCTTGATGTGTCCAGATTAATGAGCTTTCTCTCACTCACATCAGCTGCTACTACCGCGGCCCAGGCCAAGCTGGAAACAGGGACACAGAGCTGGCCCACGTTCACTAAACTCATTTATATTGTCACACAAATGTAGCAGGCTATCATGCCATGCCAGCTCTCCATAAAATTTGGATAAGGAATGAGCATTGATGTATTGTATTCCTCTGTTTTCAAAACCTGTTTCTGTTCTTGAGATTTTAACTGTAATCATTCTCCAAATACGCTCGCCTTACTGTTAGTGAAGTGTTTTAATGTCCAAAGTGATCTCTAGTGCCGAGATGGACCAGCGGGACTTCCCAGCATAAAAACATAATGAAACACTTTCATGTGCGCTTTTACATCGTTGCAACAAAGCTATGACAATGATCCTCATAATGACAGCATATAAACCGGAACGTTTCCCCAAGTTTGCCAGTTGTATATTCGTTAAATTTGAACCATAGAGATAAGGGAAGGTGTGTGTGTGTGTACACAGTATGACAGTGAAAGGCTGCAGGCTGGACAATCTGCCATGGTTATTGCCCGCAGTCACCTGATGCCAGTTTGGGATAAACAGACGTATACCCTGCATGACCTCCATTGTTAGTGGAATAAGACAGAAGATGCAGCGGGGACAGTGTGTGTGAGGTATTGGTGGTGGTGTGTGGGATGGTGAACCACCAAAACAAGCAATGGACACACACACCAGCGGTGGATCATTATATGTGACCAAAACATAAGATATGTAATAGATATTTTCTTGTCATTTATTTGAGAAAACAGGAAAATGTTTGCGCTGAACTGTTGGTCAATTTAATTTGACATTACTTAAAGGACAATGTGGCTAAAGGTATTTCTTTCAAATTTATTTAGGGTTTTGTGGCATTCAGAGATCAAATAAGACTTATTCAGGCAGGAGGCCTAGACATTTGAATGTTTAAATATTGAATTTGTTGCATCATGGCATGGTGTAGACTAGGCCTGAGAAATAAAAGAATAACAATAAATGTATACAGTGTATATATGTGCAAAAAACAACATAATAGCCAGTGAAATCGAATGTAAAATTTCTGGGTTCAACTGAAAAAATTGAGATTAAATATTTAACAACAATGCTATAATAGTTTGCCAGTATTGCAGCGAGCTTGCATTTGACTGATTCAACATTTCTCTGACCATTGGAGACAAAAGCTAGAAGTGAAGCTCTACCTGGCTGTGTGTGTGTATGTGTGTGTGTGTGTGTGTGTGTGTGTGTGTGTGTGTGTGTGTGTGTGTGTGTGTGNGTGTGTGTGTGTGTGTGTGTGTGTGTGTGTGAGAGTAGATGGTGGTGCAAGGTATTCTCCCAGCAGAGCAGCTTTGTGAAATAATAAATGACTGAGTGGAACTGCTGTGTTGTTTTCAACTTTGTTCTTGAGCGGATGGGACATGGGGGAGCAAGTCGGTAGGTAGCTACGAGAGTGAAGTAAAGTCAAGTACACAGTCAGTATCGGAAGAGCCAAGGAGTAGCTTAGCAGTTTGGAAATAGTGTTATTTAGTCTTAGATTAGCTTCAATAAAAACTGGAAAGAGCAAAGTATCTGCACCACCACTGTTATAGAGTAGAAAGAAAAGCCTTGAAAAATAATAAAAACTAGTCTCTACCTCGGGCTAATTTAATAGGTCGTGCGACATCATTGAATAACAGCCAAGGTAATGTTATTGCTGGGTTATTTCAATTAGGCACATTGCATGATAAATTTGAGACCATACAATATAATAGAGAAACCCAACATATGATGGCAGTGACAGGGATGTATAAAGTTGACACCGACCTCTCTGTCCAGGCCGGCCGCCACTGTCACGATGTCTCCAGTCTCACTGTTGATGGTGAACATGTTGGGGATGGGGCTGTGGGGTGTCTGAGAGAGGATTCTGTATCGGACCATGCCGTTTGCTGTGGTGGAGTCGTCCGCGTCGGTGGCTGTCACCTGCATCACAGATGAGCCTGTGGAGAGAAAGTTAGTTAGCTGGGAAGACTGGGAAAAGCAGGGTCAAAGGTCAGAAAAGGTCAATCTGGTAAATGGTAAAGAAGAAAAACAAGGAGTCATTAAAATACAACAATGTGCTTTTGAAGGTCCTTTGCCCACATACATTTTGAAAACACATACAGTGCACAGAAGGTTTCTTGCAAGCCCATTACTTTTAATGAATTTACAGCAATATCAAAGAGAAGAAAGAAAACTCAGAAGACAACAACCCCATTTATAAACAAGAAAGAAGTCATTCAGACTTTGCAAATTGCTGTGACATTCTCTGTACTTTGGGAAGCAAGTTTTAGTGAGAGCTTTTTCAGAGCACAGCACAAAAACACAAACAAAACCTGCTAAATAGGCCTCTATTTTAAGTTGTGCTGTTTTGTTCTCTGTGTATAGCCAAGCCATTGGGCAACGTTTCCATCTCTGCAGAGTCCATTTAGTAATGAGCAGCGCTGTGTCGTCTGCCATTTCCACCATCCATTATTTCAGCAGCACTGGCTGCCCTTAATGCTCCCATGCTCTCTCCCTATTTGTCTTAGAATCACAGATAAACACTGCCATTTAAGGCAGACAGCGCAGAGGTGGTGAGGGGGCAGGAGTGTGTGGGTGAAAAGTGCACACGTTCCCTGGCGGTTACTTAGACATAAGTCTGTGCATTTGTATGCATGTGCCTGTGTGTGTCCTCACTGCGCGAAGCAGGGTGACAAGGGCCTGTGTCCCTGCATCTTCCCCGGGCAGAATTATTGATTTGCACGAGTTTGTCAGCAAGGCTCACAAATGCGATCAGGCAATTAGGAGCACTTTGTGCTGGAAAGAGGAGAGATCACCTCGCCTCTCTCGCAGGGTTCTGTGAAAATGTCACTTTCCATCAGGCAGCCATTTACAGGCTGCCACCGCCGCCACGGCTGCTGAGAGAAAAAGAGTGTCAGCTCGCAGGAGGAGGATGGCAGAGGGAAGAGTCGACTGAAGCACAAACGTGCTTGAATGAGAAGACTAGAAGTGAAAAATAGAGACAGGGAGGCTGAAAAAAGCAAAGTGGTAATTAAAACGCCTACACGTTCGATTTTCTTCTCTGAATTAATTAGAAACTTAAACTTTTCTAGCATTTCAGATGGATTTAAAAAATATAGCACTTTTTCATGATAGTGAGCAACGGAAAGTGCTGATGCATAAGCATGTTGGTTACCTCAGTAGGCTCGATGGTGGGGGGTGGATACCATGTTGAGGAGAAACAAAACCGGTATCATTACAAAAAAAGGTTGACTAAAAGACGTCTTTAGCAGAACAGCAGAAGACAGAAAGTCAAGTTTTGCCTCAGCACCTTTCTAATCACCAATTAATGTAAATAAAAGTAAACGTCTGAGTGGAAGCAGGAGAGCTGCTGGATCCATGGCAGGCCTGACAGTCCCCCGTGGGTCTGAGCAGTTACAGGTGTCTCCATTCCCATAATTGGGTGTAGATGGCACCATCATTCCTGTGACAGCCTGCATGGACAGGATAATTGTAGCCTCGAATTTCTATTTCAAACTTCATTAAGTTTCAAAGCAGGATTTGTCACTTTGTCCAGCAAGGAAGAGAAAGAGAGTCCAAAAAAAGACAGGGAGAAGAAAAACAAGTACTGCAGCTCCATCAAGGACAACCACGATTTATAATCAACCTTTACAGTCCCGCAGGAATGGAGAAGATGTGATAGGGAGTCAAACGTTGGCCTTTCATATCAATGAGGAGGATTCAGTAATATGATGATGATGCGCTTTTAGATTCAAAGAGGGATGGCCATGCCTGAAACGGTTCATCTCTGAGCCAGTTTAATTCCTCTTTAATTTGAACACTAATTCCAAATCCTAATTGCTTTTCCGCCAAAATCGCTGGAGCTGAAAATTTAAGTGGTCGACCATTTTACTCACATGACCGCAGATCACTGGTGAGGACTATCTGCTACCTAAACATGAGTCAACCACAGTCAACGTCTGCCTCTCAATTAGAGAGAAGAGGAAGAAAGCAGTAGATGACAGACTGAGCAGAAACAGGGAGAAACAGATGCAAAGATAGAAAGCAGAGGAGGAAATTGCAAAGCGGAGAAAAAGATTATGATAAGAATATAGCTGCGACGGTTTTTAAAAACCATTAAAGGCAAAGGTGCAAGGGGAAGTCTGGGGGTGAGAGGGCAGGGGATGGACGTATAAGAGGATAATAACTCTGTGGAGAGAAGATAGAGGTTGCCTGGTAGAAGGAAAGAGGGGCTGCAGTACAGCAGAGAGAGAAGGAGAATCAAGGGCTGAGAGCTTTAAAGCACGAGAGAAAAGGTTGAAAGAGAAAAGGTTGAAGCCTGGTGAATCTTTGTGGAAGGGAAGGAGGGGGAGACAGAGTTCACACAAAACCCATTAATGAAGACCACAGCTCTCTGAAGACACGAGGACACAGTTGCACCATTCAGACCATTCACAATCATTCAGGTTCAGAATGGCTACAGAGCAGACAAAAAGGGCAAAGCACAGGAACCTTCATGGAACCTTGATCTCTATTATTGCATGATAGTCATTCTTGCTGATTTTTATCTACTCGCGGCTGTTCAGGGTCACAGGATCAGTACAAATCGATAAGCAGTGCATTAGCATATTGTATGTGTAGGTTTTTTTACAGAAGCGTTTCACCTATTTTACACATGGAACTACTTAACCAGCAGAAACAAACATCTGAATCATGTCTTCTGTGGCTCTGATGGAGCTCTGTCAACATAATGTCATCAGGGTTGTGCTGCAATTATTGTCAATGTATAATTCAATGTATCTGATCCATTCAAGGGGTTTAAGTTGAGATATCTATATGCCTCTGCTGCACTAAATTTGTTCTTCATTACTTCCACCAAGGAGTTCAAGCTTTCACATTTCAACTGTGTCTGTTTGTATGTTGGTTTATATGTGTGCACCCAATAAACTAAGAGGAGGAATGGAAGAACCCATTAAAGGAGACATATTATGCTTTTTCACTTTTTCTCTTGTGTTATAGGTTTTTTGTGAATGTAAAAAAATCCCATATCTCAACAATATGTTTTGGGACGTGTCAATAAAAACATTTCATGATGCGTTTTCTACATTGGCGCTATGACTTACATGAGCTGTTTTCAGACATGGCCTCCAGGTAAAATCCTGAGAATTGGCTACGGAGTTTACCCAGTCTTTCACACATGCACAACGCAGCGGGAGGTTCACTTCACAGACGAGATCACAACAGCTTCAAATCCTCTGCATTATTCAGGCGAGAGGTGTCCAGCTGGGTTCAGCAGGCAGAGACAGGAAGTGACGTATTAACTCTGATGTGTAGATGATCTGATTACGTTTACAGCTCCACAACTCCGTTGTCAGCTCTTATATCTTTCTATGGACTTTATACCAGGAGGTCAGGCAGATCAACTCCGTAGAAACTATGGAGTGTCTCACTTGGACATTTGCGTTCACACATGGACCTCCTCTGGAGACAATACAGAGGATCTGCGGAATCCAGTACATGTCTGAAAAAAGCTATAGAGTGTTGTAGTCCTCCACCTATACTCATCTCAACCACTCCATCTCTGCACTTCATATGCCAATCCCTAATTACCCCCCCACAAAAAGGCAAGATGAAGCGATGCTATTAAATCTCTCTGCAACTATGAGCAAACTGTTCAAGAGAGAGAGTAGCTTGAGAGGGAGGCAGCACCCCTGCCCCCCCATGGGACGGCAAATCGACTGTAAGAAAAGGCACTCAGCTGCTGGTTTTGATCTCACTCTCTCATTTCAGACGGCCTTTTTTTTGAGAAAGACGATCCATAAAAGGGAACAACTTGCTGTCAGAGTTGGGGATGAGGGGGAGGGTAGGAGAAGGGACTGAACATCACAAGGCAGATGTTATGAGTACACGGCAGCCTCTGAACACAAGAGCTTTCTGAAGGAGTCACGCCATTATCTGCAGGCGTGAAGAGTTTCAGATGATTTTAGTGACCTTACTTGTATCGGCAGTGGTGTTTCATGTGTCTTTTTATTTCATGTGCGCACTCCATGTTAGCCTAAGCTAACTTGCATATTACTTTTTGTACCTTTGTACTGATTTCACAGATTTCACAGGATTATATTCAGAGTTTCACAATCAATCTCATTTACTCCTCATTAACAACTACTGCGTGTGATCAGCCTGCTCACTTTGCCATGTACAGATTTGTGAGGTGTGATTGCCAGTGCAAATTAAATTCCATTAGTCACAGGTTTGTTTGGTGCAGAGCGCGGCCGTTTCAAACGGATCCTGACAGACAGCCTGATCCGATCTCTCCCTGTGTAACATCTGGTGACGATGATAAGGGTGGTTCCCTGTAGGTCTCTGTCTTTGATGGCTTCCCCATAGTGCGAGATGTGAAGATGTGTTGAAATGCTTCAGAAAACCTCAGATATCTGGGTCTGTAGATACATGATGTGATACTGCTGCAGCTCTAGACACATATCTCCCCTTTGCATGGAATTAAGAAAAATACAAGGGTTTGTACACACATTTTTCAAGTATTACAAATATTGAACATTTGAACTGTTTCCGTTTATTCAGACGTTCAGGGAGCACACCAAAGGTTAAGGGCCTTTGTTAGGAGGTTTCTTCATTTCCTACTGGTGTGGGTGAAAACTTGTTATGAACTTTTCTACTTTTCATACATCACAGTTCATCTTTCTGCTAAGACGCTGGAGGATAAAAATACCTTTAGCTAACTACTGAAACAATGGAGCATGAGCACTGAATTGGCTGCATGCCATCAGTCCAATTTGTTACAGGGAAATACTTTAAATTATATAAAGCAAAGCACTGAATTCTTTCTCCTTTTTTTTCAAAGTTCCATATTTTACTTATTTTCATTGTTTTATTTGAAGGTTTGAAATTTATGAGAAAATCTATTTGTGCTTTTAAGTGCAAAAAAACACCTCAGTATAGTTTTACATCTTCTTGCTTATGCTTCTCTCTCGAGTGCTTATCATAACCAGGCCAATTACAGGTGTAGCCTGCAACCGTAGCATGTTTAACTCAATTGGTGATGGTCATGAAAATGAGCCCAAAAGACAAAGTGAAATTAGGACTAAAAGGCTCATGCTGGATTTGGCAGGATCATCTGGTGGCATCGAGGGACAATGTAGGAGTGAGTTAGCCCACTGCCCCTGCCTCCAGCCAGGGGAGACTGAATCTGTGACCATTCAGGAGGTGGGTGATTTGGCAGCTGGGACAGAAGAGAGTGGACTGTGAAATACGTGGAGGAGAAGGAGCAGTCATCCTTTTTGTCACTGCCAGACAGTGTCTAGTGTGAATGGGATTGACTGAGATTGCAGGCGAGAGTGAAATGCTACAGCAAATGCATGGAAGGAATGCCTACCAGAGGTTGCATGTACTGGGAACTGAAGGTGGAAATATGATAAGCCAGGGCAGCAGCTATGGAAAAGCTACTTATCCTTTTTTCAAAGCTCTGACTCCAGGCGGTGGATTTCATTCTTTAAAGTAAACAAGTTTTCAGTCCACACGCAACCATAATAATACCTGGATTTCAGTCCAAGTGTCACGACTGATAAAGCTCCAAAACAAAAAACAACAAGACAAATGTAATCCAACGATCAGCAGAAGAATAGTGTTAAAAGGATTAAAAGTGGAAAAGATTGTTGGAGGGGTGGAGCAAAACACTAAGAGTCCTTAACAGAGAAAGAGTAAAATAGCAGATTTCAACCTTTAAAAGACCTTAGAAAGACAGAACAATGGTTCAGGATGAGGTCCTGGCTTAAAGCCAGAGTTGTGACTGTAGAGTTGTGAATAACCATGTCACATAGGTCCTGACAGCTTGTTTTAAAACACTGTTTTTGAAAATGGAATGTGTGCCCTTCTCTGTGAATTTAACATTTTTGCATTTTCACAAAGCACCCAGAGCTGCTTTATAATCAAAAAAGAAATGGAAATCTTTCATGAGACCTTAATGAAATTGCTTAACCGCTGTTGTTTCTAGCCACACAAATAATTTCCTCTCAGCCAAGGTTTTAGACACGTCATGTGTGTTACTGTGCGACATAATATATTATGATGTAGTAATAGATACGAATAGTTTTTGATGTTTTATCGCTGCTCAGACCTGCAGTGGGCAGGGTGAGACGGACAACTGAGGTATTCCAGCAGCCTCTGTGCCCAGAGCCGCACCTGTCACCTGCCGTGCTGTGACAGGATGGAAAGAGTCTTTCACCTGAGGTACCACCTGAGGAATTTTAATGGTCATCCTTTTATGCCACTGCCACTGAATAATTTAAGCCAAATGCAAATGCAGGATGTACACCAGAGGATCTGTGAAGCTCGGCTGTGATCTCATGGCCCTTTTAATAATCACTGAGAATGGTAGTCATTATATGAAGTTTACATGAACTCATATTACATCAATTATGAGGAAATTTAAAACATAATACTCAAGAATAGTGAATTGAGAATCTGAAGTACTCCTAAACAAAATCAAAGTATTTTAGTATTAGTTTTTGTACCACATCTCAAATGCCACCTGGTGGCTGGCTGTATTTCAGATCATCAATCTCACCTCCCTCATGTTAAAGGTACAGTGTGTAAGATTTAAGTGAAAGGGAACTATTGGCAGAAATGTAATGAAGAATAATTCTCATGATGTTTTCACTAGTTCGTTTCATCTAAATTGTATGAATTGTATGAATTACCCCAGAAAAGGCCCTTTATATTTAAATACTTTATATTTACATTAGTCCAGACTGGACAAACTAAACACCATTTGAGTTTTTGTGACAACTAAAGGTTTCCACAGGTTCTCCTTCCTGTTTGGAAGGAGAGGCTGAGGTGAGGGGTGTTCAGCTGCAACATGCAACTTCAACACTCGATATCATAAAATTCTACACACTGTACCTTTAATGGATGAGAGATGGACCAAAATAAAAAGTGTCAACAAAATGTTTCTTAAAGATGGTTTCGTTCATTATGGGTAATTCTTCTCTCACCAATGTATTTACAAGTGTTCATGTTTCCAGCAAGTTTGGTTTTAATTGGATATTTGTTGATACAAACTGGTTGAAATGTCATGAATGACATGGGAGACTGACAACCGCGGCTCCGTCCTGATCGCTACTGTGCAGACTCTGCCAGCAAATGTGCAAGATGGTGTTCGTACCTGAGGTACTTCAGTTTCATTTCTGGATAGTGGGAGCATGTGGAGCTGCATCGTCCATCTTTATATACAGTCTAAGATTCAGATGGGTCATGTACTAAATGTCAATGTTTTGGAGGTAGCATTATTTTTTCTGTCTAAATAAAGGTGTAAACAACTGAGTTTATTCAAAGTCAGAATGATATTAATCAATGCACACCACATCAAGCGTACATCTTACAGTTGGCTGTTTCTTGTTTGTGTGCAGAGTTGGAATCAGTTCAGCTGGGGATGAAAATCCACTTCAGCAAAACTGTGGGTCCATAGTGAGTAAAAGGTTTAAGTGGTGGAGGACATATTAAAGGATTAAATGGGCCAGAGAAGTATAAAATGTCTCTTTGAACCCAAACTGGAGATGAATCACACCGATTCTTGTTTTCGTCAACTAAACCAGCAATTAGGCAAACGTGGCTTTGTAGCATATTTGCCTAATTAAAATTCATCAATTCAGAGACCAGTGACTGAGCTCTACACACAGTTTGCCTTGTTGACACCAGACTCTCCACACCTGACACTGTATGCTCCACAAACAAATGTTACTTGGCAGTGATTTTTTAATGACGAGAAGAGCAATTATAGCGTACATGCTGTAATATGACTGCATTCTGTTCAAAACAAAAATTTGACTGAAAGACTTTTGTCGTCTCATGCTCTCATTTTAAACTAAGCAGAGAGCATCAGAGTGAAAAACGAAGAAATAGCTGTGGGAATGTCTGGTTGCCCTCGCTAATTAGGAGCACTGTACAGTATATGCTGTAGACCTGTGTGCTCCGCTGAGGAGTAACCGGTACTCACACACAGACACACACACCCATGTGTGTGTGTGTGTCTGTGTACTTCCATACACAGACACACACCCACAAAAATATACACACATACTCACTGATCCATACACACACGTACGCATGCACAACTTGCTTTCCTATATTGTTTACAAATCCCCCTGAGATTAAACTGCAGCCGAACAATATCTGAACACTGCTGTGAAGACACACACAGGTCCTCAGGGTCTGATTGTTAGAGCAAGAGTTCTTCCAGTAGAGACACGAGAGCTACTTGTATATTCGGCTCTTGTCTCTCGCTTGGCACTGACCAACTCAGTTTTGCGATTCAGAGGGAAGGTCTACATCCCTCCATGCTCGGTAGAATCTGATAATGATGCATCCAGCGAAGATACAGTAACACAAATATCTCATGAGTGTGCCCTCGTCTGAACCAACCAAAAACTTCACGTCACGGTAAATTCACTCCCGAGGTGTTGTTTGCATTGTTCAGGTTGTTCAATCTAAACTATACAATCATCAATGATAAACTGTTTGCATCAATATGATTTTTATGGCTTTAAATTTGACTCAGATGATCAGAACTGAACAAAGTGTGCAGTTTGAGCTCAAATCTTTCTCCTATAACTCAAGCTGATTGCACTTCCTGTTCATGATGCAACATCCGAGTTTGTATGTTATACCTGCTGCACACTAGAGGATAATGAGGCCAATGTCAGGTCTGATTGGCGGGGGGTGTTGCTGATCTAGGGCTGATCTGGCCAAATATTCCTGTAGTGTGAGGACTTTACAGACCCAATCCTCCTGTCAGCAACTGAATCAGAGCATTTCAAATTATAAATATTGTGAATTTTTTTAAATGTCAAATTTGAAATCGGGGAGTCATGTCATATGACAGGAACAATAGCCAAAGAGAGTGAACCGACCAAGGAGGATATGAAAATCCTCCCGTGTACAGATGCATGAGTTGACTCTGAATCCTAATGCAAACTATTACATCATACAATCCCCACAACTGACTAATTATCATTACAATTAAACTGTAGATGTCTGTAATACATATAAAAACTAAATTGTACAAGAAAGTTGCTTTTTGAATAAACTCCTGGAAAGGGTAATATCTGGCTTTTTTCTTTTTGTTCGGTTAATAGAAAAAATAATTGACACGTTAATAGATAATCAAAATAATCTTTAGATGCAGCCCTAGTCTATATCATATCAGCAAATTCAACGTGCTATTCCACTGCAACAGGGATTTTAAAGTCTCACACTGTAGGAACCGTCCTCACACAAATCAAACTGAACCACAAAGGGTCACAGCTACTGCTGCAGCTGTTTGACAGTGGTCAACTCTCACCATGAAGCACATGTCTGCAGTCGTTTTACTCTGTCAGCATCCCCTCGTGTTGTATTTACGAATGAATCTAGACATGTATCGTGGTAGAGTGACATACTAAACACAGACCAGCAGATCATTTGTCCCTGTCAGTATTGCTTCTAAATAATAAGCTCAGTGAGAACTTCAGTGTCTGATAATAAAGCATTTTACCATCCTATATAGTTATTTGGTGTTATGTGTCATTGTTGTCATGTGGTTGTCTGTCTGGGCATATACTGTGTGGCACACAATGATTCTCCAAAAGGACAGAATAAACATTAATCTAACTAGACAAAACTCTTACCTGGTTTGGACCCTTCAGCCACGGAGCCATTGTACACCTGGTTCTGAAACTCAGGCCTGTTGTCGTTCATGTCGATCACATAGATGTACAGATCGATTGGATTCTCCACCTGGTTACCGTTCATGTCCACTGCATGCGCTCGCAGCTGTGAATATACAACAAAGCACAAACAAGAAATGGATCATTAGGATTTAATGTTGAATCTTAGCTTGAATTGATAAATGTAACTCAACTGATAACAGGCCGCTGGCTCGATTGATATATACATTTGTGATCTAGTCTGGACGGGAACAGGGCACAACTTTTATTTTATTTCTTGACTGTCAGCAGGGCACAAGCATCCTGACGGTTTCCTGGCAAGCAACCACAACAACACAGACAGGGGCAAAGTAGTGAAATGCTCCAGACACAAACAACACCTATTTTGTTGTAAGCACAGCCAGAGTCCTAAAGAATCTCAGAGAGAGGTGTTGCTGCTCAAGCTGTGGCTTCTTTTTTAGTATTGGGGAGAATGTTTGTCTCAATTTATTTTGACAAAGGAAGCCATTTGGATGGTTGTCTCGCAATGATGAGCTGTTCCCTGACAATTCACAGTGTGAGAAAAGAGACAGGCGACGAGGTGGAGAACGAAGGGGAAGAAAATAAAAGAGGGACCTGGGAACAGGCGAATGAGATGGGAAGAGGAGAGGAGGAGTGTGACTGAGCCTCGTGCAAGTAAATGAGAGATGAAAATACAAAGAGGCAGTGTGGGGGTGTGGGGGCTTGAACAGGGAGGACTGACAGAGGCAATCATCATCTACACTGGGATGTCTTAATCTCCAGTGCTGCTGCTACACACCCTCTACTCCCCACCAATCCCCACTAATGACATCTAACATAACGCAAAGCTTTGTAATAGCCTGGAACCAAACCGGCACTGTTCACCGTGACTTACATTACTCTCATTCAATTGCCTAGAAAATCATATCCTCTGCAGAAATGTTATTCAATCACAGCTTGGCTTGGTATAAGGAGAAGGGCTCTCCTCCTGGCTAAAAGCTGGCATGCTGGCTGCTAAATATTTTGCCACAACTAAGTCAAGGAGGTTCTGCCTGCCAGCCTATTTACAGCGAGTTTTGATGTATTGTGGAGTGACATGAAAGATTCAATGCCGGCACCTGCCTCCGCCACTACAAAACTAATCATGTCGGCTTTTGTGTCAGCTGTCAAGGATGTATCACAACATACCCAAACACACGCCCGCTCGAGCATTTACACGCGCAACCCAACACATGTTTATGCGTATTAACATGGACGCTGACACAAGTGTGCAGACAGACACACACACACACACACA